TTAGCATAGTTGCAGGTGAATTGCGCAAAGCGACGTGAAGCAATGAAGCGATTACGCTTTCGACATCGCTATGTGCGCGATTTATCGGAAGACTCCATTGATGAGGAGTTGGAGAGGAGGACGGTGAAAAGCTCAAAATGGATGGCATATTCCGGAGCGTTGCATGTCAACGAGGAGGAAGAGCTGGTACGAGCGCAGCGTGATATGGAGCGTTGGAAGTATCAAGGTTAGCTACTGTAGTTTCGGGTTGGTACAGATGTTCATTACTCAAACTATTAGATATATTCATACCTATGAAGTCTATGTTAGGCGCTAAGTCGGGACCTGTCAGATCAAGTATCCCTATACCTCAGAACAGTGTTTCTCTTCTAATTCTGCTACTCTTCGCAGTCTCTGCTTCGATTTTGTATTTTAGCGATAATTATCATTTCATATTCTGATAAATTGCTTTAAAAAAGTTTTATGGCTTAATTTGTTGGTAAAACATTCAAAAAATTACTTTGGCACAACCTTTGGTCACCTTAGACTCAAGCCTGACGCATTTTGATTGGACTAGAATAGACTGAGTTTTGTTCCAGCTCTTTTTCCATCTTTTTTTTCCTAGCCCAGTCATCCTTACAAATAACCAAAAAATTTTAATCGGGCCAAAATAAAACGAAGCAAGTTATAATATCTCGGCACCTGCATTTGAGACCAGTTTTGTTGTGGGTACGACTAATTGCCTACGTTTACGAAATATTATGGTACTTCAAATCATGTATTTTACAAATGCAACAGACGGAGAGGGTTTGTGCGGTTGTGCTGATAGTAATAAAGCGTTAAAAAATGTAGTCTGTTATCACCAACGCTGAAATGCTTCATGAAAACAGAAACGGTGACACGGTAAAGGACGAAACTGGAGGAAATAGAAATGAGCGCCTTTTTTGGTGCGAAACTTCAACCAGGGTTCACATTTTTCTTGCCGAAGTTGTACATGTGTTGTCTATTATTTTAAATGTGAAGCATTCATTCAGAAAACTTAAAGCAGCATTTTCTTTGAGGTTTAAAAACATATGAAGAGCCGGCTGATGTAATGGTGAACGGTGCTCGTATCTGTGTTCGCGCTTTCTGGATAACGGTATCTTTATTACCACTAGTTCTACTGCTAGTGCTAATCGGACTTTTATCATTGCTTTGGAAGCAAAAATCCTCTTCAACGAAGCAGTGGTGGAGGAGAACAGGAGATCCGCCAGCGCAGTCTGCCGCTGCTGATAATGACTCTACATATCTGAGATTTTAGGGATTACATACATATATACAGAAAAGAGGAATACCTGTGCAAGCGAATCACTAATGATTTTGACCAGGGCTGCATTTGCGCCAAAAGTTTGCGTTTTATTGCGTTTACGCGAATAAGCTTTCTTTTAAAATGCCCATAACAAAGCATCACTCTGGCTGCGTCTTAATGACAATCGATCGACCTAACCAGACATCCAAATCCAGACTTTGTCGGGATGATCATTGTCAACAACCACTGAGAGGGAGATGTTGGGTGAGCTTCTGGGAAATGCTAAAAACATGGCCTAAAACTGAAAGGAATGGATTTTTGTTGAGATGCTTCAAGGCGCAAAGCATCCCAATTTTTTATTGTTGCCACAGTTTTGATTTTTGCTATTGCTTTTGTGTTGTCGCATTTGCTGTACTTGTTATTATATCGGCAGAAATATCCGAGGGTTTCAACCCAAAAGGTGGAAAACTTAGCGTGGGTTGTTCCTTACTTAACAAGGACAAAGTTGCAAAGAAATTATATCGAGTTAAAAGCACAGCACTGATCAAAAATAGTATTAACTTTTAGAAAAATGGGAAGGTCAAAGGCCAACCCTGCTGGAACTCAAGAAATCATTATTTTTGCCTCGCTCATTCTAGTTCTCTCCTTCTCGGTGAAGTTATTTGTTTCTTTTTTCCAGTCGTATTTTATAATATGTGGACATTCCAGTGATTTATTGTCCAAGTAGTATCACTCCTCGCTCCTTATCATTCCGCTTATTGTAAGCATTCCATACAACCACATTACATTCCCATCCACTGTTATTATTATTATGTGATCCACTATTATAATTATTATACGAAA